ATTTTTAACATTTCTTTATTTTGCGTTTGGGGGCACATGCACTCCATGACTCCTGCATGGGGGTCAGAAGACAACTTTTGGGGTGGGTTCACTCCTTCATGATGTGAGTCCTGGAGATAAAATTCCAGTTGTCATGCTTGGTGGCAACACATTTATCCACTGAGCTATCTCCTCTACTTCATTAAGACGTTTACAACCCAAATCATCCAGGAACCCTACAACACTCACCTCCAACTGAAAGTGAGAAGGAACCACAGGACTCACCCCATCCCTCTCCTGTACATAATATAACCCTCCTGTATTTCCTCTCCTTTATATTCTTTTACCATCTGTCACACCATATGGTTTAGCTATTTATGATGCAGTCTAGAATACCAACCCATAAGATAAAGACTCCAGCCTATTTTGTTCATGCCTGGATGCCCAGAATCTAGAACATCCATGAAACTTAGTGGATGCTAAGCAAGTAGTCGAAGAACTTTGATGACTTTTTTTTTTTTTTTTTGATTCTGCAATCTGGGGCAATTATGGGCTTTTGTTTTCCAGATCATTAACCAAGTCCAATTTTATCTTCAATCAACCTACTGAAATTTGAATGTGGTAATCATTAACGAAGTATCCTTTTGAGTCTTTCTCAGAAGGCACATAATTTATGTTATTTATGTCACCTGAATGAACCCACTACATTTTTGTATTTGCTGATTCAAAGGGACCTCTGAGATGACTTTGTGCAGTTTTTCCTCAGCTCTCCCTCAACTACTTCCAATGTCCATTTCATCCAGTGCTTCACCCTATCAGCTTATACTACCAGTCCATTTTCACATTAAACATGTAACCCTAGGGGAGGTGCTCAACACTTGTAAACTCAGTCTTTTCTTGTGGTTGGGGGAGGGGGGTTGTGTACCATTTTTGCTTAGAATTGGAGGTGCCAAAAAAATTCTGTGCTAACTAAAAACAGCAAGTAATTGGAAAAAGGAAAAAGAAAAACTTCTTTTGTAAAAAAATCTTTCAGCTATTCCACCACAAGAAATGTTATTCTATCTTTCCTTCACCAAAGGTGCCAGCCTCTCTCTTCTCTTCTTGTTTACCATACTTCTCTACACTTTTCTCACCAGGTTGTCTAAACAATCCCTACTGCACACAGCTAACACACACACACACACAGAGAGAGAGAGAGAGAGAGAGAGAGAGAGAGAGAGAGAGAGAGAG